AAAAAAAAAAACGAAAAAGGAATCAAGATTTTATATTTCACGAGACGACGCCGGAATATTTCGAGACTAAATGAACGGTTACATCTGTTTTCAGTAAAATTGGAAGTACGATTGGGGGTATTGAGAGCTGATAGAACTCACGATGAGGAGTGGAGGCACGCGCCGGCAGCTGCGACGGCTTTTCTAGTTCGGAGATCGAGCCGTTCTCTACTCTACCTCTGCTTGTGGGAAGTGAATGACCAAATTGTCCTAATTGGGACGTTGAGGCGTGATGTCATTGTACAGTACAAGACGGTGGATTAAGGAAAGAAGCCCAATAGCAAGTCCAAGCCCAAATATACGCCAAGTTAATTGGCGCAATTTTATATATACTTAACGAAAATAAAAGATTTGTAAAAATACCATGTGGTGTTATTGTATTGCACATTTGCACTCTTATAAAATCTGATTAAAATAATTGCATATATACCAAGATGCAGTTACCATATCTGAAAAGTTGTAACTCATTGAGTTGAGGACCGTTTTTCACGTTAAATAATAGAGATAATAACCAACATGGAAGTAATTAATTCTTGAAAAATAAGGAAGGTGGTTGAGTGGAATTAGTAAGGATATAGCTTTTGAATTTCTAGCGCCTTCAGCAACATATAACTCAAATAAATAAATCGATGGAGATATTTGTTCACGAAGCAGCGTATAACTCATAATCCTGAACAATAATTTTCACGAAGCAGGTATTTTTTTTATCATCTCGATCGATTTATTTGATATTGTCGATATATTTTTTGTTTATATTTGAAATGAAATCATGTCGGCCGTATATAAAACGTATATTTTCTTATTATTCTGTCTTTTCGTAGATGGATACGCAATTGAAGATCTTCGTACATTACAATGGTGAATGGGTCATGACATTATTTCTTCCATGATCAAGAAATAATGTATACAAAACAAAAATAAGACATCCGTGTTATGTGATGTATACAAAAAAAAAATAGGTTCAGATTAATATACAACATATATACAGAAAATATACAACAAATATACTCTATAGATCGGAAAAAAAAAATCTACAAAAAAAGACACGATCTGAAATATACAGAACATATACATAACATATACCTGCAACTACGCAAACAACAAAAAAAAAAGTATAAATATACTACATATATACCACATATATACAACATATATATCGTTAGGTTTAGTCCTCCTCTCAACTAAAAAAAATTTGATATATCTGCTTCTTGTTGTCGTCCTCCAGTATCTTCCTATTGGGCCCTCGGGTCACGCTCGCAGCCCCTTTGCCCGATTTGAAATCCTTGCTCGGACCGGTGACGACTCTATTCGCCCTCGCCTTCACGGTGAAGGTGTTCGCCTGAACGTGGCCGTTGGTGTCGGCGCCCCGTTGGGTCTGCAACCCTATTCCGTTATACATCGTTGGGGCTACAAAAATCTGTCAAATTTCAATGATTGTGCAGATCACAAGTGAAAAAAAAAAAAAAAGAGCATGAAGGGGAGAGGATAATTGATCGTTGATAGAGAGAGAGAGAGATGAGGTGGTGAGATAACGAAAAAGAAGAGAGAGGGAGGGGAAGAGAGAAACTTAGAAGAGAGATAAGGAGAAAGAGGCGTGATTTAGGAGAGAGAAAATGCTTGCATTATTTTCTGGTATATCTACAAATAAAACATTATTTTAGGTAGAATTGCTAATATTTATAATAGATGTTTAATTTTGTAATAAAAACTTAAATTTATGGTGTGGGGAGTAATTTTTTCAAGTTAATTTTGAATAAGATTAAAGCTATAGCCATATCCAAGCCCAATGGGATTTATCAATGGCCGTAGAAGCACGGTAGTGAAGAACAAAACACAACACCATTGGCACGATTTTCCACTCATATTATTGGGAAATGTTACAACTCTATTCTGTCGGAATTTATAACTGTTAGATCATCATGTAACCGCCGTGGGTAGTTGATCTAACGGTTACAAATCTCAACTGAATGGTTTCTTAATAAGACCGTAGAATCTCTTCATATTATTAACCTAGATAACTAAAAAAGTAAAAATTGTTGATGTTATAAATTATAATAGTTCTAATACCTAAAGAATTTTACTTTAATTATTTTTAAATATCACAATACTCGTTGTTTTTAATATGGTTAGATTTTCTTTTACATACTTTTATATTTTGTGATTTACCAATTTTTTAAAATAAACACATGACCATTTTTATTTTAAGTTTTTTTTCGTATGGCCCGTAATTGGTCGGGGTCTTCGTATTATCAATTTACTATGTATTGTGTGTTAGGATCAACAATTCAAAACCCAATTCTCCATCAAGCTCAATATACAAGCTTAAATGGGATTTCATTCTAAAACCAATTGGCAATAGAAGGAGTAGCCCACCAAACTTATATATTAGACTTGGAACCTTTGATTTTTCGGATTGGGATTGCACACCCTACAAACCTCCCCTCAAACACAAGACCACACTGGGCCTTCTCTTGAACAAAATTCATATGATCCGACCATCTTGTACAGCCGTTATCACCCACGGAACCCGCCGCCTGACCACACCCTTTTCGTCAGGAAGACTTTTGACACAAGGCACACGGATCTACCGGCCCTTCCAGATCCACGGGGAACATGCCACGTCATCCACATCGTAACTGGGCTACCAACCGTGGCTCTGATACCAATTGTTAGGATCAACAATTCAAAATCCAGTTCTCAATCAAGCCCAACATACAAGTTTAAATGGGGTTCCATTTTAAAACCAATTGGCAATAGAAGGAGTAGCCCACCAAACTTATATATTGGACTTGGAACCTTTAATTTTTCGATGTGGGATTAGGTTTGCACACCCTACCTTGTCTACTTACTTTTCAGTTTAATAAAAGTTTATTTTGATTCGAAAACTTAAAAAATGTCTTGATATATTATAAAAAGTATAGTTTTGAATATTTGAAAAAAAAAAGATTTTTTTTTTCCTTTTCTTCCAACAGTCACGTGATGTTTGAAAATGCTCAAATACTTTAAATGATCAAAAAAATGTTTTTAATTTCAAAAGTGCAGATTTTAATAATTTATTAACAACATGAATTATATACTTATATTCCAATGAATTTTGTTAGTATTAATAATTTATTTCTCACCAGTCATCATCTCCAATAAAAATAGGCAAAACTTCACAATTTCATATGTTAGCATTTAATACCATTATTACTATGCAAAAATTTTGTAACTTTTGTCCATGGCTTTAATTGTACTAATACATATCAACAAACACAGTCCTCACTTTGTCTTACTCAAAAATAATTATATATTAAAAAAACAAGAAACAAATGAAGTTGAAAAATAAAAATAATAAATTTATAAAAACTCATACTATATAATAATGTGTTCTTACAAACGAAAGGGACAGTACTTGCAAGATTATTATGCTACAACAGCCAAAAATAAAGAGCTGTTTGCACCATTTTGCAATTATTATATATGTGTGAATGCTGTATCTTTCTGCAAATTCAAAAAGAAAAATATATAGTAGGAAAAAATAAATAAAAATTTTATCGTTGTATAAATTAACATATCATGTTGCTGTCGAGGGGCCTATACTCTGCCATGCTTGCATTTGTTGCTTTTAAATCTACTGTGTATTTGGTAGTTATACTGACTAACTAGGGCATTTATAATAGGCATGATGCAGGTACAAATGACTAGCTCCATTTCAAAATATAAATTTACAAACCTATAAAAATAAATGTCCTAAGATTTGATATTAATTTATCTGAATTCTAGTTGATTTCAACAAACTAAGATGGATTTTCGATCAGAGGTGATATTCGAACTGAGCCGAGTTCAGTAGCTCATGTTCGAGCTCGTGCTCGTTTAATAAACGAGTCAAATGCTCGGCTGGAGCTTGAGTCGTTTAAGCTCGGGCTGATTAGACTAAATGTTTGCGAACATGAAAAGTGAGTTCATCTCGGTTGTTTCATTTAAAACCCGTAAATAATAATTAAAAGCTAGTTGTTCACAAACAAGCTTGTCTCAACTCATTTAATACGCAAGATTGATTAGTTAAGTTCAAGTTCTACGCGTTTAAGCAAATGAGCGAGTCGAACTCAAGCTTCTTCAAAAAATCCTAAATGTAATCGTGAAAGGAGCATTCTATGATGCATAGATTCTTATCCAAGAGTTGTATCTGTTAGAATATCACTTGTGAGTTGTCCCACATTGTTAATACATGGTATCAGAGCCCACTTTGTGTCTGGGTTAGAGACATGATATCAGAGCCCGACCCACTTTGTGTCTGGGTTAGAGACATGATATCAGAGCCCGACCGACTTTGTGTTTGGGTTAGAGACATGATATGAGAGCCCACTTTGTGCCTGGGTTAGAGACATGATATCAGACTCACAAGTGAGGGGGCGTGTTGGAATATCACTTGTGAGTTGTCCCACATTGTTAATACATGGAAAATAGACCCACTTAATAAGTTTAATGGGCTACTCCTCCTTTCACCAATTGGTTTTGGGATGGAACCCCATTGGACTTCATTTGGGTTTTTCCCACTATGGTGCGCTTCGTGTTAGTGGGACCGCACCGTTTTCCCCCAGTTTCTTACAGTATCATTTGAAACACGTGAAGTGTGTTGGCTAACCCAATAACAGAAGATTCGCAAGGGGGACTGGAGAAGCAATGTCGAGTACGTAGAAGCACGATTCGTTTAACAACTTAATTTTTGAATAGTCAAAGGTTGAAAACTTCATAAACGTTGACCGAACTTTGACCGGTTCGTCAAGTGTTGAAGTTTATGAACGATGGCCGGATTGTGAAGTTTTCAACAATAGTCAAATGTTGAAAATTTCATAATGTTGGCCATATTTTGGTCGGGTCGCTTGCTGGCCGATGTAGATGACCCATTTTGAATTTGGTTCGACTCCAGGTTGACCGGGTTTCGAGTAAAAGAAAAAAAAATTAAGTGGAGTAGCATAACTTTGGCTAGAATTAAAGACATTAGACAATAGTGGTAATAAAGATTGGGGACAAGGGGGTCAATTAACATGGGACATGCAAAATATGAAAACCTACACAGCAATGAAAATTAGAGAAGGAGGTGGGGCCCGCCCTCCCCCGGGCGGCGGCCTCCTCGGGTTCAGACAATAGCGGCGGCGGCGTCGCCTGGAGATCAAGTCCCTCTTTCTGAGTTAATTAATAATTAATTAAAATCATTTAATGCGCCCACAGCCTTCTATAACAAAGGAAATCTAACTTTATCTCTCTCACGCACACACACTCTCACTGTGTGTGTTCGTATAATGAATGAAAGTGGGTAAAAAAGACTGAAAAACAATAATCAAGCAATCAAGTTTCGGGTATAAAGAGGGGTCCGCTTGTCAGTTGAATTTACTATCTTGCCCTTCTGTGTTCAATTTTTGTCCTACCTATGTTCCTAATCTAGGGCAATTATGCCCTTAGTATGGGAATTCGGAGTAAAGATTAGTTATGTTGATATGGCATCGAAATCCGCGACATTTGAGTTGAGTTGAGTTGGGTTGGGTTCAGTTTAGAACTTAAACGGACCGCTTAATTGTGTCTCATAAAAGCATTTGTATTGATGATGTATGATGTTTAACTAGTTTTCATTTCTGTTAACAATTGTGAAATAGTTGGTTTGAACACATACATGAGGCTCTTCAGCTCGACCTTTTTTTTTAATCTATGTAAGAAGTAGTAAAAATTATTTCAACTTATTATGTGAACTTATAATAATTATAGCTTGGCCAAATTATTTCAAAAAAAAATTATATATAAATTAAGTATTAGAATATGATCTTACTTGTTAGTTGTCCCACATCGTTTATACAAAAAAAATAATCTTTAAGTTATAAGTCTAATGAACTACTCTCCTTCCACCAATTAATTTTTAAATATAACCTCGTTTATTAATGACCAAAAATGCCATTGTTAGCAAATATTAGACTCGTTTAATAAACACGTAGCAGTATTTCCAGATTTTTTTTTTTTTTTTAAAAAAAAGTGAGAAACAAGAAATCAGGCCACATATCCTCATAATTAATGGTACTTGTGAAAGGTCCGTTTTCACGTTTATTTTTGAATCTTTCATGTCAGAATTTGTTTTTTTTTTTTTTTTTAAGTGATGACTACTTATAATTAATATTCGAGAAAATTCTTTTGAGTTATGCTGATAATAATTCGATTTTTAGTTATGTACAATTAATTGATTAATAATCCATTACAGAGGTAGCGCACTCACATGCATGCAGAACTTTTATTGAGGTTTTTATCTGCTGCAATAACTGCGACCCACCACCACGAAACAAAATGTACAACAGACATGTATGCTTTATGGGATTGTACTCTACTGCCAAGAGGAGTAAATGTAAAACCAATTAATTTGCCTACAAACATCAAAAACTGATACTATAATTGCCATTTTTTTTTTAAATATATATATATATTAAATGAAAAAAGAATATTAGTTTTCTTTTAAAGAAAAATAAACATATGTATGAGAAAAGTATAAGTAAGGAATAATTGCTAGGCTAGGGTTGGCCGCCCACGGAGATTGCGTGCTTTGCGTATTGAATGCGATTATCTTGATGAATGTCTTTTTTTTCCTTTTTCTTATTTTCCATTTTAACAAAGCTACATGCGAAACGATTTTACTATGAAATTAACAGTTGACTCCGTAGTGAAGCCAACCTTCTATATATAGCAAATAAACCATATCATATTAGCAAATTTATATTAGTGTTTTTTTATGTAATCAGATATTATGGTAGTTTTACTTGTTGTATATAGAAGGTTGACTTCGTAGCAAAACCGAAATGTTGCGAGTTTGCTTAGTTATACTTTATTTTAGTGTAAATTTTGAAATTATGCATTTATTGGAAAAATATGCAACAATCTTGCTGATTCTTGATTGCATCATTTTGAGCCCATTAGAATTCTTTTGCTGCATTTTTATCTCAAATTTACAGTACAGTAAAAGCACCAAATGTAGGAAAAACAAGTGCGAAAAGTACTCTATGTTCCACTTCACATATGCTATTTGGAACAATGTCCTCTGATTTACCATATTTGCACTTTGGTCAAATAATTTGACTTGTTTTCAAATTTTCCCCATTATATTTTAAGAAAAAAGTGTAGGTTTAATTTTGACGTTAGACAATGTATAATGATATAATTTTGGGGAGATTCTAACGGTCCCTTTACTGAACCATTCCGTCGAGATTCGTAACCGTTAGATCAACTATCAACGACGATTACATAATGATCTAACGGTTACAGATCCCGACGAAATGGTTCCGTAACGGAACTGTAGCATTTCCCATAATTTTTGTTCATAATTTTCACATCTCTAGGTTAGGTTTTAACTTCTTCAATTTCCCTATGAAGGATTCAATTTTGGTGCTTCAATGCAGCTGCTGCAGTTATTGCACAAGCTATTGGGCAGACATTTTTTTTTTTCCTATTTACTTTTTCCTATTTATTTCTAATGCATGGTATCCAAGGATTGAGCTAAAAAAAATAAAAAAAAAAATTAAACATGTCTGGTTAAACTTGCTACAGATGATCTCATTAAATCTATGGGTCCCTTCTGTTGGGTTCAAACCTTCAGCTAATTCAGTTTCATTAACATTTAGTACCATAAACTTGCAACCAATTCCCAATTTACATCACTTTTACATCTTACCAACATTTTTGTCTTGACAACTAATCACTTCCTTAAAAAATGAATGAATAAGGTACTTATTCAAAAGTGATGTGATGTGTAAGTAAAAAAAAAATAGACGTTTTTGCTAACATTAAAAATCACGCCCTTTAACAGTTCAGTCGACCCTGCTGTTGACTGCAGTAAAGTCGCCGATTTTTTTTTTCACTTTCCAATTGAATCAATACACACACAATTACATATCCATGCCCATAATTAGATAGTGTATGATGCTATAGTAAAATAAAATAAAATAAAATAAAAATAAAAAATATGGTAACTCCATCTCTACAAATAGTACAAAATGCCATTTATAAAAGACATCATCTTTGTTCGCAAAATAATTTTACTACCCGCAAGTGTACGGAGTAGCTGCAGAAAGCGGCGAGCAAGGTCGTATTCCACAGAGACTGCTGTAAAACTAATTAAGTACCAAAATATAGACGACTAAATATTATCTAGACAAATGCAAATTTGATTGGAGTTTTTATTCTAAACTAATGAATGAATGCAAAAATAAATTCTAACACTAATGAAGGCTTATTCTAAGTAAATCAAGT